TGGCTTAAAGCAGCTGAGAGGTTGCACATTCTCAAGTCTGATAAGATATGGCAGCAGGAGCTGGGAAACAGGAAAAAAACAGGAAGTGAGGCCAGGTTATAAACCCTTAAATCCTGCCCCCAGTGACATACTTCCTCTAGAAAGGCTCTACCACTTTAAAGTTCTGCAACCTTTCCAAAGAGTAGCACCAGCTGAGGACCAAGTGTTCAGCACTATGAGTGTATGTGGGACATTTTATATTCAAGCCACAGTGTCAAACAAAGTTTTTATATTTGATAAAACATTTCTTTAAAATGAAAACAACCTGAACACATCTTTAGAGAAAGGAACACAGATTTTTTTTTTGGCAAATTTAAACTATAAGAATTACTGAAAAGAAGTTTTATAAATGAGGAGGAATAAAAATAGAATGTTGAATATCTAGAAAGGAAGGAAGAACATTAGGAGTGACACAGAGTAAGATTAAATGTGTGCGCATTTTCCCTGATTTATTTGAAACTTGCATGACTACTTAAAAGATGCACTTACCTAAAGATGAAATAATAACAAAAATACGGAGCTTATTAGATTGACAGGGCCAATGTCATCATGAATACACAGCAACTGTAGATATCTGCACAAGACCCATACACACAAAAAGACATAAAAGTAAGAGGGGGACTAGTTGGGAAGAAGAGGGGTGGTCTAGATTGTTTCTCTGCTGCTGTGATAGAACACTGACCAAAACCAACTTGGGAGAGAAAGGGGTTTATTTGACTTATATATCTCACAGTTCATTACCAAGGGAAGGCAACGCAGGAACAGAAGCAGAAATCATGGAGGAATGCTGCTTGCTGACGTGCTTTCCCTGGCTTCCTCAGCTAGATTCCCTCTACAGCACAGGCCTCCCTGCCCAGGGATGGTACCACCCATGGTGCACTGGACCCTCCTATATCAATTACCAGTGAAGAAAATGCTTTACAGACATATCCACACGTCAATCTGGTGGAGGAAATTCCTCAGTTGAGGTTCCCTCTTCCCAGGTGTCTCTAGTTTCTGTAAAGGTGACAAAACTAGAAAAAATGGGATCAGCAGGTATGGGAAAGGGATAAGAGAGATAATAGGTGAGAATGTGACTACAATAAATTGTACATATGAAAAAATTGAAATGGAGATTTTGATGAGCATAGATATTTTATACATGCAGTGCTTACACAAAGGAGAAAGCAATAAATGGGTGTGCACACTGCTATAAGATTTCTTACTACATGGAATGGTGCTGTATAATAATAGTATAATGTTTGGATTTTGTCTCCACGGTGCTTCCCACCTTCTAGCATGCTGTAGAGTTGGCTATTTTATGTATTTTCTCTCCTTTTGCTGAGCAGGGCATCTTGGAAAGCAATATATTTTGAGTCACCGATGCTTCTCCCACACCTGGAACAGAATCTGACCCACTGGGTAAATGTTGAAAAAAAATCGGATTAACCACATTATAGATTAAAAAACCAAGGTTTTAAATTCTTAAATGCTTTTTCCATGATCACATGACTGATGAGTTAGAGAGGTGTGATAGGAACCCATTGTTTTAATAATTGTACCATTCATACTGTAAATAAATTTCTTGTCAGGGAAGGGTTGAGACAGGGTTTCCCTGTAGCTCCAGTTGGCCTTGAACTCAGAGAGATCCACCTGCCTCTGCCTCTTTAGTGAGTACTGGGATTAAAAGCATGTACCACCACTCCTGGCTAAGCTTTAATTTTTAAAAATTAATTATGCATTTATATATTTATTTTCTGTGTGTACACATTTATGCCATAGTATATGTATAGAGTCAGAGGACAACTTGTAGGAGTCTGTTCTCTCCTTCTACCATGTGGTTTCCAGGCTCAAACTGAGGTTGTCAGGCTTGGTGGCAATTGTTTTTACCCACATAGCTATATCACTGGTCTCCAATTCAAGCTTTTAACCACTGTACACAGTGCAAGCCACATGCATCTCAGGAGAGTTGTGAATCTGTCCTGATACATTTGTAGACCACTGTCATGTCACAATGTCAAAAGGTTGGATACTCCATGATCTAAAGTAAACAAAAAAGGTTAAGAGAAACTACTATATAGTGGCAACTGATGACAGTTTATAAGAAAAATATAATTCCTTTGACAGTAATAGCCCAAAGGACAAATGTAAAAAGAAAAGATAATAAGGACTAGATACCTTCTTAAAAATCAGCCAAGTCAACCAAAGTAGAAAATCTATGTATGGAAATTTAACTTGAAACAACGGTGAGTTGGAAAATGGAAAAAAGGATTTGACAGTTTATAGTTTAGACAATATGGAAGTCCCTCTGATCACAAAGAAAGTTCTAGAGGTTATATCATGGAGAAAACCTGAACAAAGAAATGTGAGATGTCACGTCCCTTCAGAAATAGAGTGACATTAATCCTACCTGGATATCATCCACAGGCTGCAGTGTTGAGGGGGCAGAATCAGAAGAGTTATAGGAGATTTCAAAACCACGGGAGGAGTGACCAGGGCCAGCCATAACTGTGACTGCAAAAGACACACAGCCACAGAGAGGTAGGAAGTACCGAAGCTCAAGACTGAGGAGCAAAAGTATGGTAAAGGTGGTAGAATGAGCAACGGCCTATTCAAGGTGCACAGGAGTGGCTGAAGGGGTGAGCTTTGGAGAATGAGCTACTGAGTCAGTGATAGCTATTACAGAAGGAATGGTTTGGGTTTCAACTCAACAGAGACTTGCAGTTCTGAACGAGAAATACACACACACACACACACACACACACACACACACACGCAAACTGAGCCACTGAACCCAGGACAACATGTAATGTCCATACATTGTTTTGTCTCATTTATGTCCTTTTTCTGACCAGATACATGCCGCTCTGAGCCCACTAGGTCCTAAAGAGGATGCAGGTTACACACTCTTTCCATGTGATTGTAGGAGAGGACATGCAATCTTTCCTTATCATAAAACTCATAACCCTTGGCCATGGAGACTGGATTTGGAATGGAATCAACCCTGGATGAGTAGACTCCTTCTCTGGATTTCAAGTAAATGTTGAGAGAGATGAACCTAGATTTCTCCTGGGTCCTCTAATTCAGGATGGTACAAACTGGACTTTGTGACCACATGTCCCTTTTTTCCAGAAGCAAGAAGTTAACAGACAGCAGAAACAAAAGAAGCCTAATGAAGAGACAAAGAACAGAGAACCCAGGGGTCACTGTGAGTTCTTGGGAGGCTCTAAAGCTAATCCACTCCTAGACTTCCTAGCTGTCTGTATCGTTTCCAACCACAGGAAACAGAACCCTTTACAATGAGCCTGCCTTCCAAATAGCCTGTCTGCTCCTCAATTTTTTTTTAACACTAAGAAAGCACTATAAAGAGGGAAAAGCTTCAAGGACCCCAACCCTCTTGGAATGGAAAATATGCAGCATGTAATATAAATGTTGGGATTCCAGAATCTGCCCCACCCTACACACACTGTGGTTTGGTAAAATTGTGGAAAGCTTTTTCATTGGGCCATTATTAGCTATTGATTCATTCATGTAGGTTCAAGAATAAAGCTGAGTGGATCTCACTAGCATAGATAAGTGGGGCAAGGGAGTTCAAATCTGGAGGAACTTAGTTTACTATAGAACAAACCTTAAGAATAACAAGAAGCTATTCTTATTATCTTGCCATCAAAGGGGGCTAGATTTGGGTGTCAAAGCACTCTAAATGGGAACTCTAAATGAGAGTGTGGCCAAGGACCAGAAGTATGGTAGATGAATCTGTGAGCTACAGGGTAAAATTGTGATTCAGGGTGATCTCTGACTGGGTGAGGTAGTTAGTGTCAGTGGAGGATCAAGTGTCCATTGGCTGGAATTTGATAGAATTCTTTTCTTAGAGATGACAGTTCAACTTGGAGTTTTGACTCACCTTGTCTGTGTGGGCAACCAGTCAAGGTTGATGTGAGAACCCAGAGCTTGGCATTCACAGTGAACTCAGAAGCTTTACTCTAGGAAGGCTGAAGAGAGTGAACCATATGATGGGGGTTGGCCATGATTCTAGGCATCCTAGGCCAAGCCTGAATTGTGGGGAATCTAGACCGAGAAATAAGACAAAATGAAGGAGTCCACAGCTGGAGAAACAATGGGGCAGAACAGGAAGCAGGGAAAGAGATTAGAATAATATGAATGGTCCAAGAAGATTTCATTTAAGTTGGAGAACTTTCAGTGTATCTTGACCAATGGCTTCTGGGTGGAATGTGGGAATGTCAGACTGATTTGAAGAGATAGAGCTGGTGGACATCAGGAACTAGAAGGAAGCCAAATAGAACCATGAGCAAAGAGTCAGGATCTTTGTATATATGGGTTCCCCAGACTCCTTCCTGCATGTTGGGGTGAGACACTGGCTCTACACACTGCACTTGCACTCAAGGTTCCCAGGATGGAAGAACCCAGTGCTATCTACCTATTTCATTCTAATAGAAAAATGTACCATTGGATACAAGCAGACTTCCTGGATTCCTAGGTTCAGTCTTTACCTCTGTAACCTTGAACAAGTTATTTAATCTTTTTTCTTCATTTTCCTCTTCTGCAAAAATGAGACTTTTAGTCCTACCTTACAGCATCATTATCATAACATTAATCCTCATTAAGCACTAAAAACCATGCCTACCAATAATTAAGTGTTTACTTCATGTTGGCAGTTATTATGATCTCTCAAGAGGGAAATACACGGGAACAGCAAGGGAAAGGGAAATGTTAGTTCACGAGAGCATGGGAGAAGCTGGGTACAGAATTCTGAGAATAGTGTTGCTTGAGTGAAATGTTTAAGGGCTTTTCACCACTCCCTAAAGGACACATCTAAATCTCAGATCTTACCAGATTCTGTACGGCACATTATAAAAATTAAGGGGAGAGTCCTGGAGTCTGAAATCTACCTACCCTGCAGGGATTAAGAGAGCTGTCTTCTGTGGCCAGAACCAGATCTTTCTGACAGAAGACTCACCTGGATGAACTTCCAGGCCCCACGCACATGCCCGGAATTGGCAAGGCAGAGGCTGCTGAGGGATAAGGGCTTGGTCATCTCTGCTCTTCAGGACCTGCCCAAGAAGCTCTTCCCACCTTTGTTTATGGAAGCCTTCATTGGCAGACACATGAGGGTTCTGAGGGAGATGGTGGCAGCCTAGCCTCTCTGTGGGGGTTCTGATGATACACCCCACCTGGAGACCTTGTAGGCTGTGTTGGATGGAGTAGATGTAGCACAACTTCTGCAACACGTGCTGGCTGTTTACCACAGGTTGTAGGAAACAAATAGTGAAGGACCTACCTAGATATGCCCTGAGGAGCCATCTGAAGTTAGCTGGCTTTTCCCACAGGCTCCATCTCAATGAATACCATGCATACTTGTTTCAAAGTACCCAAAAAAAAATATTTCCCACAGCTGTGCTGTACAAAGATGCACATTTATGCACTGCCTGTAGACAGTATCAGAAAGATCTAGAAAATTTTCCAGTCAGCATACATAAAGGAGTTGGAACTGAATTCAGGGTGGATTCTCTCTACCTTGGCATGGTTTTCACCACCCCTGGGCCAGATGAGGAATCTTTACAAACTCTTCCTAGGATGAATCTACAAGGATAGCTTTAAGGTTGAAAATACTTTGACAGACTTAGGGAAGTGTGTCACTAAGTTCATTTCTCAGTTCTCTAAATCTAACATCTCCAGCATCTTTACTTGAATAGTATATACTTCCTCAGTCATGACATTAAACGGTTGTTCAGGTGCCTGAAACCCCCTTGGAAATGCTCTCCACCACTTGCTCAAGCCTTCTTTCATCGCGTGACTTGAATTCCCTATGCCAGCACTGGAGTCCCTGTCAACTCCAGCACCTGAACGTGAGGGATATTGAATTATTTGTTTTATGTCTTATGGATTTCCGAGTTTTCTCTAGAGTGTTGCAGACACTCTGCAGATCCTGGAATTGGAGCACTGTAGAACACAGGACTCTTAGCTCAGTGCCCTTGGGTATGTCCTCCACTAATGCTCCCAGCTCACCACAGTCAGTTTTTATGACAATGATATCTCCATTGCTTCCCTGAAGGGCCTTTTCCAACACAAAGCTAATCTAAGCCACATGACCCTGGAGCTGTACCCTGGCCCTCTGGAGTCTTATGATGACGTGGATGATATCCTCCCATAGAGATCGCCACAACTTTGTCTTGAGCTCATGAATGCACGGAAAACCATAAGACACCAAAGCGTCTCCTTTGCTGCAGATTTCTGCTTTGAGTGTTATATGCACTGTGTCTGTGGCCTAGGGACCAGATTTTGTCATTGTTAGCCATAAACAGGGAAATGTTACTTCGGATATTGAGAAGTGAGAGCCTAGGGACAGTCCTGAATCAAGGGGACATGGCTTCACTGTTCAACGTGTTGGACTAGTGATGAAGTGGGCTCAGATTACGGAGGTCAAGCCAACATGAAGAACAGTGGAACCATGGGGAAAGGTGCCATGTGGATTCAGAAAGAGAATTCTCAGTTTCTAAATGTGGATTCTAAGTCAGAAAGGGAACTATAAAATTTCTCAGGTTTGAAAAAAATTAAGGGGAATGTATGTCATATTTGGGAGTGTGAGAAAAAGGAAAGATCTGAATCACCTAATCTGCTGTATCAAAGAGGACAGCAGAACAGGCATGACCTGCTCTCAGAAATTATTAAGTCATGGTACTTCCTAGAAAATGTGGTCCAATGAATGCCCAGGATCATAAGATATCCTGTGCAGGAAGGACAGATATAATGTAGCAATGGGGTAGACATAGAGGATGGAGACAGAGCTCTGTCCAGAGAAGGAAGTTAGCTGTATCTACTCTCATCCCTGAGCCTTCCAGTCAACTGTGATGCACGGGTTCCCAGGATTCACAGGCTGGTGGCTCTGATAGTATCTTAAAGTCAACTGTTTGGCATTTTCAGGATTTCCCCAGGAACTGGCTGGAATAAGAAGCCATTTTTTTTACAAGCATGGCTGCCTGGACAGCATGACAATTGATGGTACCTTCAGCCTTAACCATATTTGTGTAAATTCCAATGAAGCCTGTGGAAACTTGGATGGACAGGTTGACATAATGATACGTTGGGATGCACTGCATTTTGTTTGTGACTTGAAGCTGACTTTGCTATAAAAGGCCCAGTGTGAGCAACATCAGAGACATAAACAGTGGTGTCTTTGAGTGCCAGGTCCTGAATTACTCTTGAACAGTTCTCTTCAGAGACTTTGTCACTCCTGTAAGCTGCTTGCCAACCGTGGCACTCCGAGCAGAAATTATATAAAGATATGCACCCTCTTCCTGTGTGCCCCAATGTGAAAGATGAGGTTGAGGGGGAGAAAATTCATGAGGAAATATTAAGAGTTGTGTGTCAGCACTAATGAAGTAGGGGCAGGGACTGGAATCTGATGACTGTAGTTGGATGTTTTGCTACTTGCAAATTTCAGCTTTCTTTAATTTTGTATAGATTTGATTTTTGGAAGAGATTTAAGGCAAAGCCTCCTATGATAACTATTGCTGTCAAGCCTTGGGGAACAGAAATTTCATTTTTCTTTTCTTACTTCTCACACCCCAAAATAATCCCTTATCTGAATGTGGACAAATTTCACAAAATCACATTTTAATTCTGGAAGCTGTTTCCTCACTCACTTCTTTTGGGATGTTTTCTTTTCTTTAAACCTGTTTTCACTTTTCCTGAAATGTGTCTTAAAGATAATCCATGCATGTACATCATATGATCTTTGATGTACTTCTTGTAGGCTTCTTTTGTGAAGCTGGATGCCTGTAAGTGATGGTTCGTGACAATGTCAACACGGGGGACTGCTGTGCTTTAGTCCCTTTGCCTTCCAGCCCTTCAGTGTAAGCATTTCCACCAATGAGCAAGTCATCGATGTTATACCCTCTTCTGCTGACCATCTTGCCCTCCATCTCCAGGCACAGCTCGCTCGCAATCTCCAGGATCTTGTAGCTGTCAGAGAACAACTCGTCATGGCTAATGATGTGCTGGTACATGATCATGATAGCAGCTGGGGACAGCATTGCTGGCCTTGGAGCTTGGAATGAATGCAGTGTAGCCTGGTGCTCTGGGGGAGGGGACGGAAAAGTTAGCCAGGTATTTTGTTCATAACCCATGGCTCCTTGATCATATTTCAGATTCCCTTTTAACTCTACCACTTACAATATTTTAATTATGTAGTCTCTTTCTGTAAGTTCTTGCTGAATTCCATAGGAGTGTAAATCTTTGTTTACAGTTTTTGATCTCTAATTCATTTTGGTCACTTTTTCCTTTTGACCGCTCCACTCTTACTCATCTCCGTTATAACGTGTGAATTCTACGAACTTGGTTTTGAGGGTAATTCTTTACAGAATTTGTTTTTGTTTCTACCATGAACTTGTCAATGAGTAATTCTGATGTGTGACTTCTAAATTGCCTAGGTAGAGCAGAAATAAGTCCATGTAAGTATATATCTGTGGCCACAAATTCTCTAGAGATTCCCCCCTTCACAATGGTTTATACCCAGATTAATAAGTTTCTTCTTTTGCCGTAGGCAAATGTTTTCTAATCTATACATCTACTTAAGTCCTAGTTTCATTTCTGTTGCTGTGATAAAATAATTTGACAAAAGTGACTTATGGGACAAAAGGTTTATCTCAGCTTATAATTTGAGGATATAGCCCATCATTGCAGGGAAGCCAAGCAGCAACTTCAGCTAGTCACATTACAGCCTCAGTCAAGAGCGGAGGGAAATGCGTGCATGTGCACTCACTTGTTTGCCCGTTTGGGCTCTCTCTGTTCCCACTCATAGTTCAGGACACTCTGCCTAGAGAAGAGGATGCCACGCTCAGTGGACTGGGTCTTCCCACACCAATTAATTAAGACAACCTCCCACAGACATGCCCACAGGCCAGCCCAATGTAGAAAACCCCTCCTTGACACTGTTCCCAGGTGATTCTATCCAGGTTGGGTCACATTGACAAAAACTTCTTCTGCCCTATACCATGAACAGCCTCAAAGTTCACTCAAGCTCCCATATGCAGCCATTGGATCCCACTGAGTCACAGGAACCAGCAAAGGCAGAGCAGCCAGAGCCTCAGTGTGTATCTGTCATTCTTGATTCATTTCCTTTTAGTTTTTGACCTGTAAAGAGTTCTGTTTTTATTGAAGTCCTAGCTAAACCTTGAAAAAGAAATCATTGTAATATTTACCCTGTATTTTTTAATATTTACCCTGTATTTACCCTGTATTTTTTTGTTTTTTTTTTCTGAATATACTTGTGGTTTCAATGAGAAATGTCTTCTGCAGACTCATATAACACGTAGTATCCAGTTGGTGGTGCTATTTGGAAAGGTTATGGAGCTTTTTGGGTGAGGAGCCTTGCTAGAGGAACTAAGTCACTCAGGGTGGACTTTGGGAGTTCATAGCCTTGACCTACTTCCTATTCAGTTTCTCTGTTTTCTGGTATACCAGTGAAATGTGATCTGCCAGCTTCCTGCTGTGGCTACCTGTTGTCATGCCATCGCCACCATGATGAACCCTAACCTTCTGGAACTGTAAGTCAAAATAAGTTTTTTCTTCCATAAGTTGTTTTTGGTCATGATATTTTACTGCAGCAACAGAAAATAACTAATACAATGTTTGTTTTCAATTGTTCCCTGCTATGAATGTCAGGATTAATCTATGTTCTCTACAATAATATAATTCTTATTTCAAATGAGTTGATGCACATTGATGCATTAGAATGAAGTAAAATGACAACAGTGCTTCTCTGGCGATTGCTAGGAAGCCCAGAGCTCCTTAGAGTTTTCCTTTTTCTCTGGGGTACCATTCAAGATACATGATGGGGGCCTACAAGACAGCACAAAGCACACTTTTAAGAAAGGCCAAGTCATGACCAAAACCTGTATATTAATAAACACAAAAAGCTTGATTCACAGGGCTTGCCTTGTTCAGATTTCCCACTGTAGATGAAGTCCATGCCGCATCCTGTCACAAAGAAAACTGATAGAAAGAGAACTATTTACCAAGGCATTTGGTTCCCTTTGCATAAGTAAAATGGACTAAAGACTAACATGAAGTTAATGTATTTATACCATCTTATCAATTTTCAATGAAAAGTTAGCTTGATTTCTGAAATTTTAACACCATGAAACCTTTGAGATGAAGATCCTGTACCCCCCCCACTTACTTTCATTGTAATATCAGAGCTACATTTAAATTTTATAATATTTATTGTGTGTGTGTTCGTGTGTGTGTGTGTGTGTGTGTGTGTGTGTGTGTACACGTGCATGAGTGTGAATGGCACCTGTGTGGAAGTCAGAGGACAAGTGCAGGAACTGAATCTTTTCTTCTACTATGTGTGTACTGGGGATCCATCTCACTGGTCCTAGAGCTTTTTTGCACTATAGAATTCAAAATGACCTTAAGTAATTCAGAAAACCTATTATAAGTGCAGATTAATTGAAAAGACAATCTTCTTCTGTATGTGTGTGTGTGGTGTGTGTGTGTTTGTGTGTGTGTGTGTTGCTCCTGTATATGTGTGTGTGCTCCTGTGTGGTGTGTGTGTGTTTGTGTGTGTGTGTGTGCTCCTGTGTGGTGTGTGTGTTTATTGTGTGTGTGTTCGTGTGTGTGTGTGTGTGTGTGTGTGTGTGTGTGTACACGTGCATGAGTGTGAATGGCACCTGTGTGGAAGTCAGAGGACAAGTGCAGGAACTGAATCTTTTCTTCTACCATGTGTGTACTGGGGATCCATCTCACTGGTCCTAGAGCTTTTTTGCACTATAGAATTCAAAATGACCTTAAGTAATTCAGAAAACCTATTATAAGTGCAGATTAATTGAAAAGACAATCTCTTATAATAAACTATCATCTTAATGAAATGTTAAGCAAAAGAATACAGCATCGTAAGTTAGATTAAGACACAGTGAGAGAGGAGACAGGAAGGAATCTCATTCATTAATGAAGCGCTCTGGGTTTTAAAACAATTGTATTTATCATCTCTACAGATCCCATCACACTCAAAGAAAGCTCAATGGAGCATGTATTCCTAGAGAATTCTCTATCTAAGAGTTTCTGCTTTGTTCTTTTCTTAGGAGGCTAGGTCAGATGAAGCACTGTGGAACAGAAAGAAGGCCATGGGCCTTCTAGTAAGCAGGAAAGGGTGGGTGCCAGGTTTATGGAACCAAGAACTGAAGTCTATGGGAAGCCCCAACTCTATTCTGCCCTGAGTTGCAGGTAGCATTCTTCATCTTTCAGTGGAAGCCCCCAAATATTTATGGCTAGAAAGGTTGGAAAGTAAGGTTGGATGAAATGATTACATGGCTTTGAGGCTTCCTTGCTTCCTCTTCAGGATAACCACTGCAAAGGCTAACCTATGAAAGTGAAGCAGGACAGAGGAAAGGGAGAGAGAGGGAAGGGAGACATCCAACAAGATGCAAAGGGCAGAAGGCTTTCTCAAGTGAGCAGAGCATAAGAAAGGGTACCTGCAGCTGGGGCCCTCCCTGCTTCCTCATCCACGCTCCATTGTTCTCTACTGGTCGTGATAGGCCTCACCTTCACAAATGAACTCTAGATTTCTTGAGGACAGGCCATCAACAATAGATATTATATGTCTACAGAACTTCATAGCTTATAATGTGATCTTATATTATCTCATTTATTATGCAAATTAAAGGAGGCAGGTATTAACAGTACCTCTGTCTTACAACTGAGGAAACTGAATTTCAGAGCTAGGGTGAGACAGCCACCCCAGATCCATGGCCAGTAGATGATGAAGCCAGGATCTGATCTGAGTTCTGTGCTTGACATTCCAGTGCTCTCCAGCAAACTGGCCTTTGTGCCTGGATCATTCCTGGCTCGGGTCTGGTTTTACCTCTTACTTGGGACTTTATACACAGAGGATGTTTATTTAGTAGACTTTGACCATGGGGAATGTTTACCTAGTAAAGGAATAAGTGATTCTAGAAGAAAACTAATTTCTTTTTATTTTTTAAATTTATTTTTAAATAAAATCACCTTATTCTACAAACAAAAACATCACATCATTGATTGAAGGAAGCCACTCAAATACTTGTCCCAGTCTCAAACTCTATATATCTTCCATACATTCTGAAGTCAGGGAGGTTCACTTAAGGTTTTACACAAGGCAGCTAATTTCATATTGAGATGACTTGCTGGAGCCTTTTAAAATGTTTATGTAAAAATGCATCATGTTGGGCAATCAGGTAATTGTTTGCCTTTTAAGCACGAGGACCTTGATTAGAGCCCCCAAAAGCTACATAGAACAGCATAGTGATGTAGGCTTGTGATCCCAGCACAATAGAGGCAGAGACAAGTAGACCCCTGGGGCTTGCTAGCCAGCCAAGCTAGTCTACTTGATGACTTCCAGGTAAATGAGAGACTGTCTAAAATAACCCCACAGACTCTGAGGAATGACAGCTGAATTTGTCCTCTGGTCCCTCCATGCGTGTGCAATCAAGTGAAGCACTCACATACACAAACATGAACACACACGCAGACATATATTTAAAAAGTTTCATGTTTGCTCTGACTTTCTAGTTGTACTTCATGTGATTTTCCAAATGTATCTAGACTTTTCTACTGTGTGGAATGTGAAGATGCCCAGCCTCTTTCTTAATAGCTCACTGTGTCTTATTCTGGGGGGTTAGAGTTGACACCTACCACAGCCCTGATGGCTAAATTGATAAAATTAATATTTATAAGTCATTAACTAGAGGCCAAACTGCATGCCTGGAGTTTTGTATTCATTTTTGTTGCTGTTGTTGTTGTTGTTATTTTGATTTTTTTGTTTTGTTTTGCTTTCTTGTCCTTTTGAGACAGCCTCTTCCTGTAGCTCCAGCTGTCCTAGAACATGGTGATTCATACCTTTAATTCTAGCACTTGGGAGGCAGAGGCAGGCAGATCTCTGTGAGTTCAATACCAGCCTGGTATACACAGTGAGTTGTATCCATTTGTGATGCCTAGTTTTAATTAACAACTTGAAGAACTCTAGAGTCTCCTA